GTGTCAGCGCGGAGTGTGAGGCAGGCACGGGAAGACCTGTTGCCTCAGTAAGGAAAGACTTTTTTTTATTTTCATTGCCCTTTTTGTGCTCACCCGAAGTTTAAACCAACTCTAAACAAGTACATTAGCTAACTACTAACAGGAACTTTGGAAATAAACTAAACAACTATTTGAGGAAAGAAGTTTGTGAGGAGAAATCTTCATGAGAGTAGGAGAGTTCCGTCTGAAGCCGGGAGGGGAAGGGGAGAGGTAGAAAGGAACTGAAAGGGGGGGGGGGGCTCATGCACAATAGTACTGAGGGAGGCTCGTGCACACTGCGCATGCGTGGCCCCAGATACATTGCTCAGAAAAATCCGTCAAGAAGCGCTGGGGAGCTCAACACCTGATGTGGAGCACCCCCTGGGATGCCTCTCAACGAAGAACAAATATTATCTACAAGTAATTTATTTTTTGCTCTTTTTATTCATCCCACTATCTTTTAAGTATAACATTTTAACACAATATTATGCAAACACAGAAGCTGTCTAAAATATATGTTATATATTCATTAGCTTCCATTAAACCATCAACACTTAGCAGCAAATAACAGTCTCTCTTTGTACTTAGAGCATAACCATGGGTAAATGCTGACTTCTAAATTGAGACCACTATATATATACACCATGAAGTATTTACTTTGATTTACATTATTTTAAAATATAAAACTGATCCATATTTCTACACAATATATTTTATAATGAGGATAAGTGTTTAATTAAACTTCACCCAGTAATGTAATGTAGAAATGAAAGAAAACTTATAAGTTCTGTAGTTTAAGTCACATAAAGTAGTATTAGCAACTATAGAAAAAAAAATATAACTAGCAAGAGACATAAAAGTGTTGAGCTCAAAATGTAGCTGAGAAGAAAAACCATGACTTATGAAAACTGATTCTGACAAAGCAAAAATTGTTTCATAATATAATACACTTATAGTGTAACCTTTAACATACTAGTGTCAACGTGAAGAAAGGGGCCAAATCATAAAATCTTGTCTACTTGGGCAAATTGCTCAAAACTGGTTCTTAGCTTAAGTCAGTAGTTAGCTCTCAGATTACTTGTCTGTAAAGGTGTAAAAAAGGTGAGCTCTTAAAGTGTTCATTACTAGTGTCTATCAACGCAAACTGGAGACAACCAACATGGGCTTGAGTGTCCTGGCCTAGTCTTGAGATAAGCATCTAATTACTGTTGATAACTATATATTATTAAAGTGTGATGACCACTTCCATATTTAAGGCACATTTGAAGCAACTGTATAAACACCATTCAGCCTTTGAATTTATTAAAAGAATTATGGCTAAAATTAGTATTTGATGACAACCTGCTTAAACAATAATATCAATCAAGTTTTCCACCAGGAGGAGATCACTCATAACTATAACAGCTGGATATTGATTTCCTCATATAGCCTCCTTCATCCTGAATTACTACAAATCACCACCATGTTGGAAATAATGAACTTATACTGATAAAATTATACTGCATTTCCTGAAAAAGAGACCTATTACCATCAGCATAGTGCGGGTGCACAGAGAATGTGCACAAAGAACCTTCCATTTGGACATCCTGTGCCAAAATAAATGGCACTTGCAATTCCTGGCCTCTGGAGAGCAAAAGAAATACTCCTTCATACACTGGCAAGGACGACAAAAAGAAAGGCAATGGCATAGCCTTGTTCCTTTAAACCAGGGGTGGGGAACCTTTTTTGGGCCAGGGGCCACTGACACACAGAAAAATCAGTCAAGGGCTGCACACAAAAAAACCCTCACTAACGTGGCACCCAACTGAAGAGAAAGACACTCCTCACACATTTCCCATTCTCATCAGAAAAAATCAGACATGCATCAAAAGAAAAGTAGATTACCCTAATTTAATTGTGCTATGTCCCCAAGTGTGCTTGGATTCTTGATTAACAGTCAACTAGATATAGTCCCCAGCTCAAAAAGTTTATAATCTACCCAGACCTAGGTGTGGATTTGCAGAGACTGTGGTCTGCATTTCCTATTCTCAGAAAGTCCCAATGGAGAAAGAGAGGCCTCCAGTGTGAAAGGGGCCTGGTAGTATAATCTCTCATGAAGCATGCTGGAGAGTTACAGGACAAGATAGCCACAATGAGGAGCATTAATGCTCACTAGGAATTCATTGCAAGGACTCACACAGAGGTCCAAGGACAAAGGTGGTGGCTCACAATGTTAATATTTTTTGAAGCATAGGGGCATAGAAGGAAGCCTCTGTAAAAACAGATGACCCAAGTGAGTGTCCAGGCTGGCACTGATGAATAACAGAGTGTGGGTGGGGTAACAAAAAGGAAGAGCACATCAGAGATGCAGGCAGGAGTTGAATGATGAAGGCCTTTTAGACATGGATAAGATGTTTTAACTTAATGTACTCAACTATGGGGAGGCTGATAAGGGGCATCTGTGGGATGATGCAACAAGGAGCTAGTTGTGTAGAAAAAGCTGCTTCCCAAGAACTGGATCTTGCTGCCCTGCCAATTCATAATTCCGGAGAGCCTGATTTCTAGTTGATTGGATATCTTTTTTATGTTTGATTTTTCTCTCTACATTTCATAGAATTATACAACTGGAAGGAACCTCAAGAGGTCATCATGTCCAGTCGTCTGCACTCACAGCAGGACTAAGCACCATCTAGATCTTCCCTGACAAATGTTTGTCTAACCTGCTCTTAAATATCTCCAGTGATGGAGATTTCACAACCTATCAGTGATGATGCAATCTGTTGATATTCTGAACAAAGAGAGTTCTGAATCATGCTTGTAAATGTTTCCATCACTTCATACTAAGCCAGACATTCTATACTTCATAGCAACACAGAGTGTCAAACCTGGAATCTTTCTCAACAGTCAAAAAAGATGCCACACTTTTTTGAGACATACTTACATTCCTTGCAAGCTTTCTGCTGTTAAGTTATTCCACATGATCTCATTAGCTTGAAGATTTTCATTTTCTTCCAATAAAGATGTATCAAACACTATTTCTTGTTCTACATTCTCTGGTGACCTGTTAAATATTCAAAATAACTAAGATTTGTATTACGCAGAATTCGCATACATACACTAAGTCTACTCAGACTTTAAATATTTGTTCCTTTCCAAAAAGATATCAGTAGAAAGCAAATTTTTATAATACTGAAAAAAGAGATTGGAAAATGCTCACTTCAAAATAAGAGTACAGTTTTAAAAATACATTAGAACACTACGTGGTAGACTTTGCTTTGAATTAAGGTCTCTACATAACTAATGATTTTAATGGAACTGCATCTGAGTGTAGAATATACAATAACTGATCCAAGTTACAAGTTTGGAATGAAGTAATAATATGAACATTAATCTATACATTAGTAACTAACATAAAAATAAAAATGAATGCAATTCCAAGAACTTACTGGGACTACTTGCCCGAGTAACAAATGGACAAGATCACATCCATAAAAAACAAACAAAACTTATTCCTGAGATAAACTTTGCTCGAAACATCATACACATTCCTAATGTTGCTGTATCTCACTGTTATGACACAAAATTTCTAGCCTCCAGAGTTGTGTCTGATTATATGTTTTTAACGATAATTATTAGAATTTAGTATTTTCTTTAAAAAACTTATTGCTGAGTTCAAGACTTATATTTTAACTGTATCCTAGGACAGTTTACGTACATAGAATCATGGATTCATAGAATACTAGAAACGGAAGAGACCTCGAGAGATCTTCAACCCCAGTCCCCTGCCTTCATGGAAAGACCAAGCACTGTCTAGATCATCTCTGATAACTGTTTGTCTAACATGCTCCCCAGAGATCCCCAGAGATGGAGATTCCACAACCTCCTTCGGCAATTAATTCCAGTGTTTAACCATCCTGACAATTAGGAAGTTTTTCCTAATGTCCAACCTAAACCTCCCTTGCTGCAATTCAAGCCCATTCTTTCTTGGCCTATCATCAGAAGCCAAGGAGAACAATTTCCCCCCTCCTCCTTGTAACACCTTTTTAGATACCTGAAAACTGCTATCATGTCCCCTCTCATCTTCTCTTTTCTAAACTAAACAAGCCCAAATCCTTCAGCCTTGCCTCACAGCTCATATTTTCTAGACCTTTAATCATTTTTGTTGCTCTTCTATGGACCTTCTCCAATTTCTCCACATCTTCCTTGACATGTGGTGCCCAGAACTGGCCACAATACTCCAATTGAGGCCTAATCAGCACAGTGTAGAGCAGAATAATGACTTCTCGTGTCTTGCTCAAAACACTCCTGTCACTATACCCCAGAATCATGTTTGCTTTTTTTGCGGTAGTGTCACGTATTGACTCATATTTAGCTTGTGGTCCACTATGATCCCTACATCCCCTTCTGTAGTACTCCTTCCTGGATAGTCACTTCCCATTCTGTATGTGTGAAACATATTGTTCCTTCCTAAGTGGAGTACTTTGCATGGAGATGCACAGACCAAACAATCTCACCAATAAGGATAAAGCATTACAATCAAATAGCAATTTACAAGAACCCAAGTGAAAACAAACAAAGAATATACCATTTTTTCCATTGAAGGCTAAATACAGAAATGATATCTTCTTCAGATGTAAAAATGAATAAAACAACCAGAATGGAAAGTTTATACCTGTGAGCTTCTATGAAGCTACTGTATTCTGAACTAGGGTCTATCTGTTCAACAGAAGTCTGGATCTCTTTATGGACATTCACTATCTCTTCTGTTACAAGACTGGTGATCTGACTGTATTCATCCAGGATTCCTTTTCTGGGGGAAAAAAATACCACAATTCATAGCTTCCAAGGCATGAATTATATCTTATCTAACCTCTTGCATAACATAGACCAGGGAACAACCCCAAAATAATTTGTAGAGCATATCCAATGTACAACACAGTATGTATTAATAAATGCATATTTCAAAAATTTTAACCTACAATACAACACAGAAATGCAGTTAATTTCTTAATTTTTCTAAGCCTTTAGTGAAAACCTTTATAATGTTTGGCATTCTTTAATATACTAAAGCACTTAGTTTTCTTTAAGACATTTAATCCTGAATTCAACAAAAAGGGATACAATTTTTGTTCTAATTCTTAATTCAACAATATTACTAATACTTAGAAACTCAGTATGTTCTTAAAATTCCTATTATATTCTGTTACTGCATTTTTAAGTTTTATCTCTGTAGTGACTACCATAAAATTCACAATACTAATGAGCATAGTTGTTCAAATATTGAGTGCCTTGCAGTCAGTTTTTCCTACAAATGGCTCTTCCAGTTGACTGCAGAAAGAGAAGAATCAAATTGTACATTACTGAAAAAAATAAAGTACCAAATTATGGGCCCTCCATTGAAAGTATTTTGTGAGAAGGAGGGTTCTTTGACCATATTCCCTACCACTCCCATAGTTCCTCCAAATAAACAGCCAAATTAAGAAAACACTAACAGTGGGAGCACCGTTAGTTATTTATGACATTGTATCATTACCAAGGAACAATTGCAGTAGTATGTGATATGAACCTCCACTGATGATTTTAAGATCAAAATGTAGTGCTGCAACACTGACTCATTAAGTTTAATAAAGAATGAGCTAATTTTATCTATGATAACAAAACAGTGTGTAGTTATTACACTAATCAGTGTATCCATATCAGATCTATTGCATCCAAGGAACATGGGGGCATACCAAGAAGCATAAAGGGTAGAGAAGAAACTCATCAAAATCTGGCATCCTGAAAAAGTTTCCTTCTTTAAATCAGAGAGGAAGTTTATAGGGAGCGAGACATGTCAATTTCTCACTGCTCATAGCCCATGCAGGTTGAGCAAGGTTGTCACGCAATTTCAAATGAGAGGGGCCTAACATCTGTGGTATATTCTGCCTTTCTATTCATTGCCTGTGCTGGTGTGAAGTTATCACATTGAAGAACCACTAGCATTTCACGTGATCCCAGATGAGAAGGAAATCTATGCAGCCATTTTGTAAATAGAAACAGTACACAGACACACCAAACTCTGTATTTAGCAATTGACACTGATGTCTAGGATTGACATGAAAAGGGAAAATCACAAAGAAAATTAGGGTCATCTGCAAGATTAGCAAATACAAGTTTAAATTAAATGAATCATTTCCAAGTTTTAAAAATGAAGACTGAGGATTTACTCAAAAAAATCCCAATTAATATTTTAGAAATGTATAGGGGGAATAAACTGTCTTTGACATATCCACATATTCCATTAAGCCAGAAGATAATGGTCCCATTTATATGAGTGGACTTTGTATTGAAAACTGACAGCAGAACAAACACTGACTTTTTTACCCATTCCATTTCATGGAAATTAAAAAACAGTGTTTATTATTTTCTAATAATAGTGAAATAACTACTAAATGGGCTATTAAATAAAATGGACCTATTACAAATCAGAAGCACAGGAAAAGCTCTTACAATGCATTAACCATTTCTTCTTGCATCTTCTGTAGCGAATCAAGTAATAAAGGGAGTGTAGTGTCATAGTACTGGTGCTGATGCAACTGTGCTCCCTTCAGTGCCAACACATACTGATTATGCAGCATGTGAAGTTTCATAGTTGCTTTATCATAACGATCTTTGGCTCTTTCGGTCTCCTTTCCTGAAGGAAAAGAAAATGGGAAAATGCACACAGTGATTTAACAGCACACTGGTAATTCATTGCTTGTTAATAACACCAGAAATGAAGTAGTCACAATTGCATATTAAATCCATGACAAGTTGACCACTTTTCACTTTTCTAAAGCTTTAGGCTGATAGTTTAAAAAAAAACTACACTAACACTGAGAATTTTTTTAACTCATGCATTGAACCAAATTCTGCTCTTCTTACTGATGACCAAATATGGAAAAGTTCCCAATGATTTGAGTGGACTTCTGTGTGAATAAGTTGATTAAGGAGGTTGCCATACCTATTTAAGTCAGGGATATTAAATATCCCACATCCTGAGAACTATGTTCACCTAACCTCTAGTACAGAGGGAGGTTTAGCAGTGAAAGAATTCTTCCGTCAACATAGGTATCATTACGCAGGGAGGCAGCGTTCAGTAACGAATGGAAAAATATCTTTGGTCTGAATCTGCACTATGGAATTATGCTGGCATAGCTATGGCAGGCTACCTTCACATCCATAGCATAGACATGTCCTTATGCTTCAACAAGAAAGTGACCGTATTCTAGTAGGCAAATGTTTTTAATTTTGTTCACTATTATATTCACTGTACATCTATTGTAAAAGAAGAATACCTTTCACTGAATATAGAAATCAAAATTCTTAACATTCTTTTGAGAGTTCTCACGTACAGAAGTTCCACACTACCAATATTTTGCTATATACAAACTATGCTAAAATGTATATTACATGCATGCAGCTATCGACCTAATGCACCATGATGAACAAATGCACATTGAGCATATTCATATTGATCATCATCACAACCACATTACTACAGAGACTTTTAGTATTTCAACATCCTCAGAAACACTACTACAAAGGAAAATTATTCCTTTTAATGCTAGGTCAGTTATATAAAATTGTTTTCCATAAATGATCCCTTATAACAAATCAGAACTTGTTTCAGAATAGATCACACTATTAGCATGCACCCTGAAGTTTAACTGAAGATTTTCAGCTCACTATTAATATAAAAAAACCTCAGCTACTACACTATATTTGGATTGCATATTTTTTACGCATAGAATTCAGTGAAGCAACATGCACAATTGATAAACTTATCAATTAAAATGAGGAAAACATCCAAGTTCTTTTTATCCGTGCAATTAATTTCATAAACAGATTGAATTAGCATTCTATTGCCATCACTTGGTGGCAAATCTGTTTAATGTTTACAGTAATAGACTGCATATACAATATGTTGTGCTATAAACACTATTATAAAGCTGGCAAAATTCAATTATGCATGTTTGGTATTTGCATGATAATCTGGAGTGCTTTTTAAGCTATTCTAAAGTCAATTATTCAATTTTTATTATGAACTTCTGAAGTGTTTACTACACATGGCATAAGCAGGATACTGTACAATACAGCAGTCCCCTAGTTTTGAAAAATACTTGATTTTAAAAATTGAACATTTCCAATGGTCTCAGAATCATTACAGTCCTTACACCTATATACTCTGTGGTCCTATACTTCCTATTGCTCAGTGTTCACTTTGAATGCCTTAAGGACATGGTGAGTTATTGTTCTTCATTTCTTTAACTGCTTTGCAGACCTACTCGGGTGTTGGATTTCAAGAGTTTCCCATCTTGGATGCTGAGGGTGGAATTGATGGGGACATCAGTCACAGTCCATTTCCGATTTAGTAGCTGTTGATAGCGTTCCTTCCCAACACTCTTTAATGAATTTAAAAATAACCAATGGTCTGGTAGAACTTTATAGACTACCAAGCTCCCATTTGCAGAGCAGAGGAAGTACTTACTTCCACAGTCCAAATGCTGCTTCTGACCATGACAAGGCACCACCACCATGATTTTTGCAGACAAGCATATCTACGCACAGTGCATCTGCTGGATCCACCTACCCACCCCCGCCACCCTCGGCAATTTAAAAATAGCCTGGAGGCTTCTTGCTGCCCCATGGGAACATAGCAGGGTTAGAATGGCTTCCAGCCACTCACTCTGCGGGGCTGCCAATATGGCTCTGGAGTGGCGTCTCCATGTGCTGCCCCTTGTATGTCTCTACAAAGAATGGGAGCTCCAGGGGTGGTTCCTGTGGTCAGCAACACATGAAGTCCTCACTAACTACAATCCTCACCCTCTCCACCACCACATCCACTCCCCTTCCAGCCCCCAAACTTCCTTCCAGAGCCTGCACCTCTAACCTCCTCCTACACCACCACTCCCTCCCCAAATTAGAGCCTGCAGCCAGCACCCAGACTCCATCCCAGAGCCTGCACCTCTGACCCCAGTACTCTTGCACCCAAACTCCTCCCCAGAACCCAAACCACCTGTACCCCAATCTCCTGTCTCAGCCCTGAACTTCACCCAGCACCCAAATTTCTTCTCAGGACCCACACCCCTTCCCCACCCAAACTCCATCCCAGAGCCTTAGGCTGGGGTGGGGGATTTGGGGTTGGAAAGGGTGAGGGCTCTAGGCAATCTGGACCCAGAATGGACCAGATCAGTCGCCTCTGTCTGCAGCCACTGATTGTCATCCCATACCTGCATTATCAGGGCTCGGCGAACTGCAGCGAGCCCCACTCACCAGCCGCACTGTCCGGTGATCTGCGCATGCGCAGATCGTTCTGCGTATGCGCAGATCGCCCAAACCCAGCTCTTCCGGGTTGCAATCTACTCACCATGGGCATCATGAAAACTTTATAGCTGATCCATCAGCCCTCATCTTCAAAGAAAACCTACACAACACTTCCAAAAGACAAACCTGGGAGATTCAATTAATAACTTCTCTAGACACTAAAAACAGTGGACTGGAGAGAGAAGCTGAATTTATGGCTTATTACAACCATCTACAACCCACTAACAGACTCTACCAGCTGCCTCCCCACCTATTCCTTGCCTCCCTATAACTGGATGGGTGCTAATGGGCCACTTCACTTTGAATGGTCCCTTGAAAAGTACGTTACCTTGCTAAATGATCTGTTCCACATTATATTTAGCTGTGACACTCTAAAGCAGTGGTTCCCAACCTTTTTTATACTGCGGAGGAGCAAACCCATTCACCCACTTTTGGCAGACTGATAACATTTTATTTGCATATTCATTATGGTAATTTTAAGAGGTCAAGTGTTATTTTGCATCGCATCTGTATGTACACAATACATGTCGGAATTGGTCACAGTTTGCAGATAGCTACAACACTAAAAAAAAAAATCAAGGAAAGAATTCCCCTCTGGCTGCTGGGTGGGGCAGTCCCTTCCCCAAGGGCAACTGGTGCCTGCAGATGGAGGGGCACAGGTAGAGGCACCCTATTAGCAACTGAAATTTTGTGAGGGGCATAGGAGCAAGTGCCCACCAGTGCTACCACCAGTCACCTTTGCCCTCCCCATGTCCAGCCCCATGAAGTGGAGGAGCTGCCATTTTATCTCCCGGTTCCGCCTGTACAACCCCTGACCTCTGTCTCTTCCTTCCCCAGCCACCCCCTCCACAATCCCCATTTTCCTCCCTGTGACCACCCCTCAGCACCCCTCAGAGTTTGCCTCCATTGCACCCCTGCTCCCATCCACCCCATAAGTCTCCCCTGAATTCCCCCAATCTCCCTTCAGTAGGGTTGCCAGATGGTTTCCCAAAAAAATACCGAACACACAAGCTAAAAATTTGTCCAGCAAAAAAAAAGAAAAAAAAAGAAAAAGAAAAAACCCACCACACCTATGCTTAACACTGAACGGGAACTTTATTATAAACAATCAACAGTCTATATCACATATTTTGACTACATGAACCTCCCAGCGCTGATCGCGGCACCGCTTCCAGCGTTGATCGCAGCCCCGCTTCTCCAGCCACTTCCTCCATCCCTGACAGGCTTCCGCAAGCAACCAGCTGAGCTGAGGGCTCCCAGCGCTCAACATGGCCCCACCTCCCTAGCCACTTCCCCCGCCAGGCTTCCATCCGGCGCCCAGCTGGAAAAGCAGAAAATACCGGACACTGTACATGTCAGGTACTTTCTGACTTTTTTTTACTGGACAGAGAGCACAAAAAATGGACTGTCTGGTTGAATACCAGACACCTGGCAACTTTACCCTTCAGCTCCTGCATCCTTCTCCTGCCCCCGTCTCACACATCCCTGTTCCCCCTCACCCTCCTTACCTGACCCTGACCAGCTCCCTCCCAGGACTGGCTCCCCTCCCTACACATGCTGGGAACTGGTTGAAGCTTCTCTGGGCCCCAGACAGGGGTTGCACCCAGCTCCACTGGGAGCAACCCAGGGCCAAACGCTTGCAGCCCAGTGGCACTGGGGCCCTGCTCCTGGGGGAGCGAGAAACGGGTGGTCTCTGTTATCTGCCCCACAAGCACTGCTCTCCCTGGAGCAGGGCCTAGGCCAGGCACGGACTAGCCAGGCTGGAGGCATTCCCCTGCAAGAGGCTTCTGGGGAGCAGTGGGACTGGCCCTGCGAGAGATTGCTCCCTCCCAGCTGCAGCCCAGGCTGCGCAGGCGCATCAGCAAATGCTTCCTGTAGCCAGGACCGACCCAGGGATCATTTCCCCTAGCTCTTACTGGATCCCAGCAAGCAACCCACTGCGCTGCAGACTCTGCTCCTAAGGGTGCTCCCACCCCTGAGCTCAGGCAATGTGCTGCAGCCCAGCAGCCAGCGGTTTGCAGCCCGACACTGGTCTGCAGATCAGCATTGGGAACCACTGCTCTAAAGTTTACCAGGGCTAATGAAGAATTCTGTGTAAGCAGGAAAGCTAGTCTCTCTCCAACTGAAATGATTTCAATAAAAAAATTACTTCACACACTTCGTCTCTCTAAAATACTGGTGAGTCCTCCTTTTTATAGCAAAATATTTATAAATCACTCCCCCCCCCCCCCCATTATCTGTCGTGAAAAATTTAAATACATGTATCAAGGGAAGAGTAACTTAAATTTCTTACAAGTACTGCCCTATCACAATTCGGCCCCCCTTTGGGGGAGCGCGGGGAGGAGTGGCATACAGTACCTGTATGAAATCTAAGTGTGAGTGTGCAGGAGTTAGGGCCGGGGTCAGAGATGCAGGAGTCAAGGCTGGGGTGTATGAGGAAGCAGCTCAGTGCAGAGGACTGGGTGAGTGCAGGAAGGGGGGCAAGGAAAACATTTCAATCAGCTGGGCAGCACTGCAGTCACATTTACTATGATAATTGAGTGGGTTTTTTCCCCTTTTTTCTGACTAGGGCGTGAGGAAAAGTTAACAGGCTGAGAGAGCCTTCCTCTCCTGCCCTCCCCTGGGTGGCTGGTGGTGAAAGTAGCCTGTGAACTTTGCCTTGCTCCCTAGTCAACAAAAAGGAAAAAAATGTCAGAAACCATGATAAGTGCATCTGCAGCAGTCTCTCTCCCACCCTGTTCCCTGAAGTAGTGGGGGGGAGGGGAGAGGAGAGGCTCCAGGTTTGGGCAGTCCCCTCCCAGCCAGTTCCTCTAACCTGCCAGGCTGCCTGCTTCTAGCACCGCAGCCTGCAGGAAGCCCAAGCAGCTGGCTGGAGCACCCCAACCCTCTCCCTGCAGCTAACTGCCCCAACCGGCCAGGTTCCTTGACGGAGCACCGCACCAGGGTGCACGGGATTACTTTCACCTCTTCACGTATTAGGGATATAAGCGACTTGTCTACTATCCGATAAACAAATGCTTATCAGATATTAAACCAGCGACTCAACTAGTCGCTTGCCCCCCTCTTGCTGCTTGTATGACAAAGAGGCAGCAAGGGAGGGGGCTAGGATCTGGTGGAGGGGAAGCCAGCTTAAAAGCCAGTTTTTCCTCAGCACCGTCTCCATGGGAAGAAGAGACAGGGACGCAGCAGGGAACTGGCAGCGCTTCCACCTTTGAAATGTGGCAACAGCAGGCTCTTGCTATGTTTCAAAAGCAGCTCTGCAGGCCCCTGCTGGCCCCACGCTCCCTGCTTTTAAAATATACAGAGTCCCAAGAGGGCTATTGTTCATTTCAAAAGCAAAGCATCTCTAGGATCGTGTGGCCAGTGGAGACCATCTCCCACCACCTTGGTTTTGAAATGTACAAGAGCCCCCCTGGTTCTTGTACATTTCAAAAGCAGAGAGCATGGGGCCAGCAGGTGAGTGTTTGAGGCCCTGCTGGCCCCAAACTCAACTTTGCATTTGAAATGTACAAGAGCCAGAGGTCTGATCTCCCCTGTTCCAGCAAACTCCTTTCTTTGGACCACTCAGGGTGCCAGACTAGTGAGATCCAACCTATAGTGGTTTACAGGATATAATTTCAGAAAGTCTTCTTGAAGTTCCCCACATAACTGGGATTCTACTAAACTTTTATGCACATTTCCAACAGAGTCATTATGCAAATCCTTGTGAAATGTCTCAGATCTCCAAGATGACAGATTCACCCAAACACATTTCAATTGTGTACACACACTTTTCAGGTTGTTTGAATGCAAAACCTTTACTATCTTAACAGACCTAGAACAGTTAACTTTATAAAAACATGTCAGGAAGTGAACTCTGTGGAAGTTACTGATCAACCACCATCACCAACATTCTGTAGTTAAACATAATATAAAAAGATGCAAAAGTTCTGCAGTTAAATTGATATCAGTTTCATTAGACCAACACAACACCCAACAGCAAGTAAAGGACAAACAGGGAGTGAGTTTATTGCCTCTTTACCTATAAATCTCTCACACAAGGTATCATAAAACAAGTCAACCCTTAAACGAGTGTTTAATCGCTTCCCACAGACATTTTTAAATTGTTCCTGCCAAGCAAACATGATTAAAAGTCTTCCTCAAGTTGTATGTAAGAATATTTACCATATCTTCATGACTGCAATGGACAGTAGTGTTACTAAAACAAAAGGGATTGAAATGCCTCATATTTCTGAGATTCTGAAAGTACAGAATCTCAGTGGCTGCACCTTGTGCACATGTATTTATAATAAGCAATACCCTGCTACACTAAAAAGGCACAGAAATACTAATGAAAATATTTATATATGTATTGTATTTGTCTAATTTTTGTTGCTTCACCCTAAGAACAAAGGGTTGTATGATTAAAGCGTTATGTAGTTGAAGCACTTCCTACTGCCACTGGATTTCCATACCACAGCTCATTACCATGTAGCTGGATCTGAATACTTAAATAGCTTTCATTTTTCATGAACCAGCAAGCTACTGGCAGCCAGCCCTCCACCGATCCCCTGGAGTTGTCTGCCAGCTCCCAGGAGAAGGCAGGCACCTTCCTAGTCCAGGGCAGAGATCATGGATCTTATTCAGGCTTGGGGGGATGCCCCTAACGTCCATGATCTCTGCACTAAATGGAGGAATGCGGCCGTCTATGGCAGGATAGCTGCCAGCCTGGCCACCAAAGGCCACATGCGAACCCAGGAGCAGGTTCACATGAAAATCAAGTTGGTCCGGCGAGACCCCCAACCCTGAGCTTCCCCTCCCCCTTCTTCCCCTTGCTTCCCCCTTCCAGCTCCCATCTCCCACCCTCTCTCCTCCCCTCTCCTGCCTCCTTTCCCCAGTCTCACCAGAGTTTCATTCTCCCCCCCCCCTCCCAGTTTTGTTAAATAAAGACAGTTTGTGTTTATGAAAAAACATGTATTTTATTTTACATCAGGAAGGGAGGTTGGTAGGGGGGGTAAGTGGAAGGACATGAGGGAGGAATGAGACATAAGGCCCCAGTGGGGCAGACCAGGGAGGCTCTTAGTGCTCTTCAAGGTGGAAGCTCTCCTGCAGGGCCTCCTGGATACTGACAGCCCCTCAATGGGCGTCCCAGATGGCAGTCTGAAGTAAGTGCAGCCAGGCTCGCAGCAACGTGTCCAAGAGAAGCACCAGAGTGCCCAGGAGCAGCTCCGGCTCCATGTTTCAAAGTGATGTGGTGTACTGAGTGAAAGCACGCAGACAGAGAATTTTTTTTCTGTCCCTCATCAAGGTAGGCAAGCAATCAGGGAAAACTGAGAACCGGATGCACGCGGGGGTGTGTGTCCCTTAAAGCACAGGCCTCAGATAGCCTCAGGAAGCAACCACACAAAGTAAATCCTGACCTGATGCCATGCCAGACCTGGTTCCGGCCAGCCTTAAGTGCAATTCAGAGTCCATTCAGCATGGATGCGCTATTTCAAAATAGCAAAATGCATTATTTTAAAATAGCTTATTTACTATTAAGAATTAACTATTTCAAAATAGCTTATTTCAAAATAATGCTGTAGTGTAGACATACCCAAAAGCTTTCTGGAAATCTAAGTACACTAGCCACTGGTTCCCCCTTGCCCACAAGCTTGTTGACACCCTCAGAGAACTCTAGTACATTAGTAAGGCATGATTTCCCTTTATAGATGCCCTGTTGACTTTTTCACAACAAATTATGTTCATCCACGTGTCTGACAATTCCCATCTTTACATAGTACCAATGAAAGAAAGAAAAAACTTGAAAGATGAAAAAGAAAGAAAGATGAAAAGTTTAAAAGAAAGGTCCATCACATGTTCCGTGAATTCTTTGGAAAACCGTACTATCAAGGAATTGGACTAATTACTGCAATTAATCTTTCAGCTTTCTGATATTTCATCAACTGAGCTGTTCAAAACAGAAATGTCACCTTGTTATAACTATTTTCTTAAAAAGGCAGTAATTAAAAGACAATAATAAAAAGCCAAAATGATCACTATTTATTAGTAATAAACATACCTTTAGCCACAGCTTCTTTATACTTCTCTTTGGCAGAGTTAACTTCTTTTATTAATTGCCTGTAACTAGATTTTAATTTTTCCAGTTCTGTCTTTGTGACCTATGAAAGAATCAGAAATAAGAAAGTTATTAAAACACTTCAAGAGTTAAATATTTCTTAACATTAGGAAAAGAATTATAGGATTTATTTTCTGATATATTAAGAATGTATTGTTGTTTTTCAGGGATATACTTAAATATATTGCCATACCCTCTAATTAAAAGAAAAAAGACTTAACAGTGTGGTGTGTAAGAGGGACCTGCTGTAATGTTTGTGGTGAAGCACATCAGGACATCTGACTTATTATTACTAATATTGTGATAGTGCGCCAAAAGCCCACAATCAAATCTCACTAGGAAAAAAAAACAGGATTTTAATTAGCTATTTACTCTCATCTGGTTTACTATCAGCCATTTACTCTCATCTGATTGCTCATTACACTAAACAAATTTATTTCAAAAGCTAAAATAGAAAAATGGCAAAAGAAATTCTAGATTTTAAAAATTTCTCAAAAGCCATGATAGGTGCCTTTAGTAGAAGAGTTCACCTCTCATGTACTAAAAGCTACATGAAGAAGAGCAACTGGCTTGTACAAAGAGATTGGAAATGTGGGTCAGGACCACCTTATTTCCATAGATAACTGGACCAGCTCCATGAATCTGAACATTTTTGTGCAAAGGAGCTATAAGAATAACACTGCCTTCTACAGTTCAAACCTTAAACACAATGTAGAGGAAAATAAGTGAGCAATAAATACAAAACACCACTGAAGCACATGACAGACGACTTTCCTTTGATAACTCAGTGGACAGACTCTGGTGTCAAAAGCAAAACCTGAGAAGAAAGGCAAGAGGTTCTTTGATCACTACATCTCAAACATTCATCAGGGACTCGGAGAAAACATTTCTGCTCAGTCAACTTAAGAGACCATTAAGCTTTTCAGCAATTTTTTTTCTCTATTACGAGGAATGTGAAGAGTGGCATGGTTGGGACTCATGAGTCTCTTTTGCTAGGTCACGTAAGCCTCACCTACTCAATTTGTTTGTTTTTAAAAAGCTAGCAATTGGTTACCTGTCAGAACTTGGCAAAAAGTAACCAAGGCACTTCTTTCAATTCTTAGTTCTAGTCTAGTCCAGATACGAGGAAGTTGGAAGTCAGAGGTAGACCATTTCTTGAGTTATCCTGCTCCCCACAAGCATGCATGCATGAGCACACTCAACCATTGGGCAGGAAAGGACTTTTTGACAGATTATACTAGTTTCCCAATGAAGAAGCAGAAATACTGTTAGTGCTGTGAAGCAATTGGTTTCTGCCAAAGAATATGCCAGGCAATGGCTAAAAGAATGAATCAAACAGACTCCATTTTGAAGTTTTGAAAGAATGGTAAATCAATGAGCCCAAAGTAAATAAATTGAGTTGGACTCTTAAATGCTGAGGGAACTGATGGTACTCATCCCATGATTAGGTGGAGCTGAGCACAATTAGGAACCGGTCCTTTTGCAGACGAGTAGAAAACAAACAGGAAATGAGATAGTTGTAGGAAACCTTTAGATTTAACAAAAGGAAATAGATTTGACTCATCTATCTAAAAAATGCTCATCAGAGATGAAAACAAAGCCAAGAACTCCATATCTAGATAAAATTAAGAGAACTAAAATAGTCAAAATTATCTTTGGTTTCCTCTTCATGATGCCTTAGTCCATACCACATAGGTATACATTTTAATACAGACTAGCCAATCACATACCAACTTTCTTGTGTGGACCCAGGATGTCAACATATAGTCAACTATACAATTAAATCCATAAACCTAGGATTATTGGTTATCTAGTCTACCAACATGCATTATCCCACCCCCCTGCAGATTCTGTATCATAAGCCAGTTCCCCCTAACACTAGCTCCATGGTGCTGCTTGGGGACAGGAGAGGCTACTACAGCAAACCTGTGCCTGCTGCAGGAAGAGGCTGCTTTGTGGCAGCAGCTCCTGTCCATGTGGGATCCAAGTTCCTCATGCAAGCCATAGAGCAGCCCCTGTCTGTGGGGAGCTCAGATCCCCCACGGACAGGGACTGCTGCCACCCCACACTGCTGCCTCTGTATCATAGGCAGAAGCGTGGGGTTAGCAGGGGGCTCCCCGGGAGTGGGGCTGCAAGCGCACTGGCTGCCAGCCCCAGCAACTATCAAATAGTCATGTAACCACTAAGATATCATGCAGTTATACGACTAGTCAATTACCAGATATCTAACATCCCTATTGTGGGCCCTACTGATATGTACTAACATTCCCTAGTACATGTTAATGTAGTCCTGTTTCAAACAAAAGTGCATTGATGAATGTCAGTTAGTATACTAACAGGCTGCTATGCATTCAAATTTACACCCGTGTGGATTAAGGCATTGTGAAAACAATCTCTAAAGTGTCTTCCTACATATCACTGGATGCCATGGGTGGCAGGGGAAGGCAAGCTCCAGCCCTGCCCCTTCAGTACCTTCCCCTCTACCCAGCAGGGAGACAAGCTCCACCCAACTCCAGTCCAATCCTTCCTGGCCACCTGGAGGACTAGGGCTGCCACGCCATGCTGGAGCCCCAGTCTTCCCGGGATGCTGGGCTTTCACACTGCATCAGGGTCTCAGCCTTTCATGGAGGCCACGGAGCCAGGGCCCGGCCTTCCCTGGTGACTGGGGAGTGAAGGCACTTTTGGCAATGCCTTCCCTTGCCTACCTTATCCACCACCCATGCAGGATGCTAATATCTGATCTTTTTGTCTTAGAAACAATTTAAATCTCTCTTTTTCTCCAGTTTGTACAAAAAAGAAGAATATCTAAAATCTGCAGTGGGATTTGAATAAATCTAAAAGTAAAGTTTTTACTATTAGCGTGTGTGGAAAGCATGATTTTTGTTTGTTCTCAAATAAATCCTTCATGGGTTCATCAAAGAATTCCTAAGAAAAAGATTCTCTGGAATTCGAAAGGCCCATGCTTTTATTTTGCTCTAATTATTACTCGAGGGTAGGAATGTTAAAAAGCTGTTAATTGGGTAATAATTAAAAATCTTAGTGGTTACATGGTTACATTCTGCAGGCTCTGCAGTATAAAACCAACTTTATTCTGCAGAGCCTACACTCCCGGGTGGCAGCCAGCTCTCCATGAGCTGGTATGTGCTGGAAGTCAGTTCTTTAGCCAGCTCTGGGTGTGAACCAGCTGGCTCACTCCCAGGGAGCCAGCTGCCACACTGTACTGGCAGAAGCTATAGTGCCTGCTAGCTCTCAGCCCCACTCCCTGGGAGCGGGGCCAGGAGCTGGCATGCAACTATTATGGCAACCAATAAGATAATGCCTATCAGTTAACAGTTTAAACAGTTACACTGTTGCATCTCTACTCTACGGCAGCATCTCCCATGGACTCCAATCACCACAGCTGATAATCTTGCTGAATACTGCTCGTATCCTTGGGAGGCTATGGGTATTCTGATATTCTATCTAACAAGGCAAAAATTCTGCTTTGTACTATGGAAGAGATCTTATGTGGACAAGGAAGCACTTACAGTAAGTGCTCCAAAAGTACAAAAGCATTGGACAAATAAAACTGTAAGAATACACATCTCATCAGAAATCCATCCATATACATGTCTTTAAGTCCTCTGGCATGGTTAGAAAAAACTCAACACCGAGAAGACCAGCATAGTCTGCTGGACAGAGCAAAAAATACCTCTGTGGCCATGCTCCCAACCCCTCATCTGCTTGTGCTAAAAAGTGGGCCTCACAGTGCATGATGAGCATTGTCAGTACATTTACTACAAAAACATAAGTAAAAATAATTATATATAATATGCTGCTAGTGTTGGTTGATCAGCAGAACATTTTGTCAAATATGTTATCACATGAAAATTATCTTTTTTCCCCCATGTATCAGAACATGGTATACACAAAATCAACAGTTCTATTCAGTGTTTTTCCATATCACCACCTCAATTTTAACCTTTCTCTAAATGGTTTTCTACCCACTGTAGGTTTTTTCTCTCCTTTTTTCCTTTCCCCTTTTCCCTTCACTCAGGGTACAGCTAGACTAAGGAGAATTTTTGTATCCCAAAAAAACTCCGCCGGATACAGGGAACGCGTTTACTCTTCCACTTTTTTTTTTGCGGAAGAGCAAATGCACTCTTTCAGAAGCCCCTGTAGTCTAGGCGTACCCTCAGTCACTCACCCCCTCCATATTTTGTACTTTTCCTTCCTAACTGATTCTATTACCTCTCTAACCATCCCACAATATCTGATACACAAAAGCACATTCATAGGCTCCCGTACACGACATGGAAGTTCTACCAGACATCCAACAGTTTGACTTCTCAGCCTATTAACCACAAACTAGTAAGGAGAAAATCAAGGTGACATGTCAACCTCCCACTGGCTGCTAGGAAAGTGGAGAGTGCCGGGATTCATAATAAGAAGCTGCACTAAATTTCAGCAGTAGTATTTGAGACAATGAAGTTAATTCAAGGAGTGATTATTGCTCACTAAAAACTTCTTGCAATACTTGTTTGGAGGCGTCATGATTCATATCAGCCTCTGGTATTGGATACATTCAAACTCCTCCCCAAAACCAACGGTGGCTACTGAAGGGGGAATTCTTTTTAAAAAGAAGCTTATGTTCCTCAACAACTGACAACACTCACCAAGAAAAGCTTTTACTTGCCTTAGATTAGTGGATTT